TAGTTTTTTTGTTCACAATGGGAAGTTTTCTCTTAAAGGTGTTTGGAATTGGGATGGTCAATGTTAGAAAGAGCAGCTGACAGAGGGATGGAGATGGCATGAAGGACACTAAGCCAGCAAATAAGCATTTTAACATAAAGCTTCAATATTGGCCTTGAAATGGGGTCCTCTTCAAAGCACCGTGCAGGCAATAAGGTCAGGCTGACAGCTGAATAACTGCAATACGAGCTCATTATAATAACCTCTGTGTATAGCAATCCTCAGCTTTAACACTCCCAAAAGCAGGAAACCATTTTTTTTAATTATGATGATGCAGCAAATTGACTAACCCTATTGTAGCAAACACCCTCTTCTAACAAAGGTTTGTCCCAATCCCACAGGGGCCTTTTTATAATGAAGCTGTACTGTATTTCCCATCACAGTCCCATATGCCATGTTTTAGCTCACACTCCCACCTGGTGGCTGCTGGTAGTTATAGATTAAATGAATACTAAGGCTATTTTTTTTCCTCTTCACGATAGAAGTTAATTTTTCCTGGGACCTTACTAGCTTAATCAGCTGACAACTGTGTGAATCATGTTCATGTAGTGTCACTCTTGAAAATGCTTCTGAGTGGAGGGAATAACATGAGAGGAGGAAAGGCACCTCTGCAAAGCAACAAGGAGTTGGTGGTTGTTTGGAAACGCCCATGCAGAGTTCTTAGCTGGGGTCTGGAGGCAGCAGTAAGTGGGTGCGTCTACATGGTCATTAATGTGCGATAGTTACTGCACATTAAGTTTAGTACTTGCATAACCAAGTACTAAATCAGGGCACAGTAACTAGCGTTACTGCGCAGTAGTGCTGGTGTATGGATATTTAGTGATGCTAACTGTGCAGTAGCCTAATACTACCGCGCAGTACTGTACCAGCATGGGTTTTGCCCTGCATGCTACTGCGCAGTAGAATTAGGTTACTGCGCAGTTAGCATCCTGTGTAGACACACCAAGGGTCACAATCCAATCAGTTTCCTGAAAACACACCAGTTAATGAGATGTATATGTATGGAAATGAAGGAGGCTCTTAAACTAGAGATCTTATTTTGCAGGGTGAACCATGCACATGTGGGAGGGTGGGGCAGAGGGATGGTGCTTTATTGGACTAGCTGTCTGAGGAGAAGAGAGAATGGCTAGCCAACCTGTAGGGGCTGCAGCTTTATACATTCAATAGTCAAATCCAGTTCTGAGTAGCCAAGAGGCAGGCTGCTGGCCTACTGCACATTCACATTTTCCAGCAATACAGCAACAAGTAATTTTGCTTTGCATCGGGTCAGGGAGTCACATGGCCCAATTTTCAAAGCTAAGGAACACGCTCTGCTCCCTTTGAACTCAGCTGGGATCTGTGTGCCCTTGTGACCACTGAAAACCAGGGTAGTAGCTGTTTTAGATAGAGGTGAGCTTTCTTGCTTCTGCTGGACTACGCTGCAGGAAGTCACCCTTTGTATGTGTTTGGGATTGTTGCTGAAGAAAGCTTAGAAGCACTTAGGCCTGTCCTGTCCAAGGGCAGGATGGTTTTGTTTTCTTTGCAATAAAATGCACCTCCCAGGTGTCTGAACACTTGCCTATGTGTGAGAAGTCTTGCTTGATCAACCCTGCTTGAGTTGCTTGTATGTGGGCACTCATTTACGTATACTCACTCCCTTCAGAAAATAAGATCACCCACATCCCAATCCCCTCTAAATCAAAAGGCTGGGTTTTTTTAGCATTACTTTGCCTTATTGACACTGTTCTACTCTTTGGCCCTGTTCATTACAGGGTTCAGCTCCCAGGCAGCGCCCGGGGGGGAGATACTGATTGGACAATTTGGTCCAACTTCTATGTTTCAAACAGTAAGGTTGTACAGCTTTCCCTGGAACCAAACTCATCCTACAGTGGGACTAGGGTCTTTTTGCCTCCTTTGCCACAGGTCTCGAGGTCTGACTTCATGCCTGGTTTGCAGTGCTTGTCCCTACCCTTCCACATCCTAACCATGCCATCCAAGAAACTACCTTTACACCTTTGTGTGCCTTTCACAAAGTCTAGTGTTTACTCACCCTTCCCCGCCATACCAGTACTGCGGACTATGCCACTGAAGCTGCGAAGCAAATGGTCATGTCTCTCTTCCAAGAGCAACTATGGCGTAAAGGAGATGTGAGTGACGTTAGTTTTTTGTGGGAGTAACGAATGGACCAGGTAGAGCCCAGTACTATTCCAAAGTGAGCAGCAACCTTTCCCCTAGCTAGACAATTCTTCTATTGCAACTTTTTCCTCATCTGAAACATCAGAAGGGGTTTAAATTCTCAAGCAACGCTTGGCCCTTTTATACTGTTGCAATCATTGTATAGTAAGGGACTATGATGAGCCCAGGCACCTCGTTGTCAGACCTGTTCCAGAATTTAAACCTGGAGCCACAGAAGTAGCAGATCGATGGAGTTGTCTGTCTTCTCATTCTCTGTCTCACTGACCAAACAGCACAGCTTAAGAAAGCTCACACCACACCTGTTAAACCAACATCTAATGCTACTACTCAAAGGCCGGTGCAAAAGGTAAGAGGAGGCTTCAGCAAACCCTGGGAAAACAATCTAGTGAGAAACGCACACTTAATTCAATTCCCACTCACTGAGAAAGAAGACGGTGATGCAATTTCTACCAGGTATTGTGCTTGGATCATATGTAATGGCTTATTTTTCCTGTCAGCCTCCTGCTTATGGGTGTCTGATAAATGGATGGCCTTCCTCTCCCATACCGCCCAGCAGCGTTTGCTTTTTCAGCTCTGCCTGCATTGCCAGCTTTGTGTCTGTTGGGATGATAGTAGGCAACTGTTGATCCTCTCATGGTGTATGCCTAAGAGGTCTAGTGAGGTGCCTGATGAATCGGCTTGTATGGAGTCCTGCAATCATTACACCAGGACCTCCAACACCACACCTACACCTAAGCAAGAGTATGGAGGAGTGGAGGCTGCCCAAGACCTACCACCCTGCCTTTAGATCATTGAGACACGATTTAGCTCCTCTCCTGGCTACTCTGCTTCAGTCTCCCTTACATTGCCTCTTTCCCACTTCCAATTTTCCAGTTGTCTCTGTGGATTCATTCTCTGCCTCTCCCCATCTCCTTCTGCTCACAGCTTTCCAAAGCAGCAACATTATGAAATTACCATGATTTACTGTAGTGTAAGAGCAACATTGTAGCCATGATGGTCCAGAAAGTTTTCTTATGGCAATTCCACCCTAAGAAATCCTTGCCCGTCACTTGATTTACTGATAATTTCCTTGCTGCCTCCTGGTCTTGGGGCCGAGCACTAAAAATCACTAAAGACTTGTTAATTATCTGCTGATAATAGGGGAAACTACGAGCAACAGCAAAGATGCTAAAGCTGTTGCTTTGCTGTCTGGGGAAACTATTAGATCTTACTTGCAGCATTTATTGTCAGCCCATAGCAGCTAGATTATGTTCATTTTTTCAAAGATAGTTTCAATTCTGCCTTCCTTCCCAGAAGAGTTTCCTACAAAGCCCTGGCAAATGGGATCTTTTCATTTCTGGTAAAAACCACAGAATTTCATTTTACTACTGGCTTTTCAAAGCTTGTTCTGGCTCTGTCTGAAGCTCTGTTCTGGGTTTCCGCATGAGTCACACCTCTGCATGCACACGTGCTATATTGTTTAGGGTTAGTTTCAACACATGAGAAAACCACTCGAAAGCAAGTGATGCCTACAAACGTGCAGGAGGAAAAGGAGCTGCTTACAGAGGCTGAACCTTTCTAGCAGGCAAAGTGAGGCTCAAATGAGCAGACTAAGAACGTCATGACAATGCCCTGCTAATGAGATCTAGAATGTTGTTTGGCCAATCAGAGCACAAGGAATGTGGAAGGCAAGTGTGCCACACAAATACTCTATGCTCTAGAGCCCCTCGCACCACCTGCCGCAGCACTGACCATACCCTGGCACCCGTTTCTAGAGTGCATGTGACTTTCTGCTGACATCTGGAAGCCTGCAGGGTGACCTAGGGCACTAGGCAGGGGGCTCCTAGTGGTTTAGGACACTGCCCACCCCCTGGGAGCCCAACACTGGGGGGAACACCCCAGCTCCACATCTAAAGCCTGTGCAGACGATGCCCCCAGGAACAGATGGAAGGTGGGGGTGCACTTTAACCCCCTCTTTGAATCCTGATACACCCAAAGTTGAAATCAACTGCTTGGGAGAGACAGCAGCATTTTTGGCAGTGCTGAGGGAGTCCATTGACTTCACAGCCCATTGTCATCTACTCCATCCCTTCGAAAGTCTTCCACCGGTGTTAAGGACCCTCTTCTTTTTAATTGTCTTGCCTTCGTTCTGCAGTTCTGCAGTGTGTGACCTGCTCCTGGTAAGACAGCTCTTGTTTCGTGGCTTCGCGGGTCGGTCGTCACTCCGTCCAGTGAAGTTTGATTTGTTTTTGCTGCAATCTTGAACTGAGCGAGGCAGCCCCAGGCCCCTCGCGCATTAGCAAAACGTCTAGTTTCTTTTTAATTGGAGAAAAATATGTGTTCTTTCAAGTGACCCTAAATGTTCCAGTGCAGGGCCACACCCAGAGTCTAGAACCCCGCTTCAATGTCCTATCCCAGCGCCCCAGCAGCCATGCCCCTGGGTGTTCTAGAGCGAGGCCACGCCCCCGGTCGAAAACTCCACCCCAACGGCCTCTCGCAGCGCCTCGGCAGCTTTCTTTTTAATTGGAGAAAAATATGTGTTCTTTCAAGTGACCCTAAATGTTCCAGTGCAGGGCCACACCCAGAGTCTAGAACCCCGCTTCAATGTCCTATCCCAGCGCCCCAGCAGCCATGCCCCTGGGTGTTCTAGAGCGAGGCCACGCCCCCGGTCGAAAACTCCACCCCAACGGCCTCTCGCAGCGCCTCGGCAGCCCCGCCCCTGGGTGTTCTAGCGCAAGGCCACGCCCCCGGTGTAGAACCCCGCCCCCCGCAACGTTCCGCCCGCCCTCGGCGTTCTAGAACCCGGCCTCCCGATCCCGCGCCCGGTCCCCGCCCGCGCCCCCCGGCAGTGTCAATGCGGCGCCGCCGCGCAGCGCCCTCGCCCCGGCCATGGACACGAGCGACCTGTTCACGAGCTGCAAGAAGGGGGACGTGAGCCGCGTGCGGTGAGGCCGGCCGGGGCCGGGGCCGGGGTGGGGGTGACTCTCCCGGGCCAGCCCCCCGTGCTCCACCCCTGCCAGGGGCCCCGATCCCTGCCCTCTCCCCTCCAGCTCCTCCCCGGGGCTCGCTGGGGCACTCCTGCGCCTGCAGAGGCCCAGCTTGGCTGGGGGTCTCCCCTGCCCCAGGACAGCGGGTTGCGCCAGCGCCCCGTGCAGGGGGCCACGGGCTGCTCGGAGGAGGGGTCTGTGAATGTCTCTCCCCACAACTGGCTTTGATTTGGTTTGAAATAGCTTTAACAACTGGACGGGGCGCCTGTGTCAGCACTGCACGTCTGGAGTGACGCCGCGGGCTGTGGTCCTCCTTCCCTTGTCCCGCTCCGAGTGAGAGGGATTTGCCTTGGTGCTGGCAGGGTCTGTCAGCCCCGGGAGGCTCGGGTGCTGTTTGCAGGCAGTCCTAGCTGGGGGTGGGGGGGGGTTCAACTTGTGGCAACGCTTCCTAGAAGCAGGCGCTGGCTGCCCCCAGACGGCTGGTGAGGGTGTCAGGTCTGTGTTGTGTGTGGTTGATGAAAGTCTTGGGGAGAGTTTAGACCAGTGCTTCTCAACCTTTTTTTGTACTAGGACCCACTTGTAAACATCAATGGCCAGTCCTGGCCCAGCGCCCCTCACTCCCAACCCACCGCCCCCGGTGTGTGGGATGGGGAGGGGTGCGGTATGGAGAGCCCCAAGCAACCCTTTGCAGGCTGGCACTCTGACAGCCTGCAAGTGAACAGCCGGTTTTCCACATTTCTCTCCATTTTTAAAGTTTGTTCACACCCCTTTCATATATTCTTGTGGCCCACAGATTGAGAAATGCGGGTTTCGATCGTGGTTTGTATGGGATGGTTTGGAGAGGGATGATCCTGCCTCCCTCCACGGGGTGACCCATGCGGGTCCCTGCCAGCCCCGCTTCTCTGTGATTCCGTGAACTCGGCGGGGGAGGCTGTGTGAATGCCTCTCCCCATGGTTCACCAGGCAGGTTTTGTTTGGCTGAAATTGCTTTAAAAATGGGGCGAGAAGCCTGCATAAAATGTGCCCCGTCTGGAATGACACCACGGGGCTGTGGTCTTCTTTTCCCTTGCTGCCCTATATTCCTTGCTTTGCCCTGCCTAGAGATCTGCCCTGCTCTAGTCAGAGGGATTTGCAGGTGACTGCTGCCGTGGCTCTGGCTGGGCCTGAGATCAGCCCCGGGGGCTGTGAGGTGATATATGCAAGCAATCCTAGCTGGCCTAGGCTTGGCTGTCAGCCAGACCCCGTGACCTGGAACAGCTGATGATACTAGATAGCTCAGACCAGTGAGAGCTTTTTTTTTTTTTTCTTTTTTTTTTTTTTTAAATTAATAAACATGTTTTCCCAAGGAGCCGAATGCCCAGTGCCTCTTCTGCTTGAATGCGACTGGTTCTGCTTTAATCCTGCCCATTTCCCCATGGATCAAACGTCTGATGGTGACAGGGTTTGACTGGGTATCATTCCCAGTGGTTCTGCGCAGGTTTCTACTCCTCCCCTTTGTCCCCCCTAGCTATCGCCTCTCCAGCATTGGTAAATAGCACTACAGATGTAAATCACTAGAAGTTTGGGAAATACTGGGGCGCTTTGGGACTGAGTGTTAAGGATGTCTCTGTGATGGTCAACAGCATCTAAACGTAAAAGGAAAAATATCTGACGACTGATGTTGCTGGTGGCTCTGTGAGCTGGTGCGGGGGTAAATGCAGATTGCAGGAGTCTGCTGTCCAGGAATGAGGCAGCAGAGGCCAGTGGGGCTTGGCCAGGAGACCAAACTTCTGTCCCTCATCCTGACACTGACCTATTGGGTGACCTTGGACCAGTCACTTCATCTCTTTGGGCTTCGATTTCCCCTTCCACCCTTTGTCTTTTGTTTGGACTGTAAGGTCTCCAGGGCATGAACTCTTTCTGCTAGATCTGTACAGTGCCTAGCACAAAGGAGCCTTGGCCCCTGTCATGGCTTCCAGGTGTTACCATAATATATGTAATGTGTAAGTCAGTCCCATGAGCAGGACCGTGCTACAGTTCAAAAAGCCTGCTCTTTGATACACGAGCAAAACTTCCATTCTTCTCCCTTCCAGCTCTTCCTATTGAAGAGTGTTTTCTGCACCTCACAGCATTAAAGTCAGTTACTTCCTGAAAGTGAATCCCTTTTCCTCTGTGTGAGACTCAGTTAAACCTGCAGTAATGCAAGCTCTGTATGGCACTCTGTGCTAGCAAATGTGTTGGCTCATGCTACTTTTCAGCCTGAGGCAAAACTAGGAGCAGGCACATTTGTGTCAGAGCCAGGCGCAGTTAAAGAGCAAGAGGGGTGTTCTGTTTAGAGCAGTGGTTCTCAACCTTTTTTGGACTCAACGCCTCCCTTGGAAAATGCAGGCTCTTAGTTTCGACTTGGTTTTTGACTGTGGAACTATAACAGAGCAGTTTTTCTGCTGCAGAGAACTCAAAGACCAGAACAGGGCAGAATATTTTGAACACTATGGATTTCTATTTGAAATCTCTGGGTGATCTTGTGCATCATGTTTGCACATCTAACAGTGCTGATGCTGCCTGGTACCCTCCAGTACCCTTGAAAGGATCTCGAGGCACCCCAGGGTGCTGTGGACCCCTTGTTGAGAATCACTGTCATAGAGGGTGAGGGAACCACTGTTACCAGCCCTAGTGTCTCTGCCTTGCTTGCTCATTGCAGTGATTAAATCAATTATGATAATCCCCAGGGTTGTTGCACATTTTGTTATACTCGTATAACAATCCAGTTTCGCTTCATGTCTTTCGGTTTGATTTACTGGATTATAGTAGCATCTCCTGTGCAGGTCCTCTCCAGATACCTGGCACAGTGGCCTATGCTCCAACAAATTTGCTGTCTCCAGTCTAATAAACGGAGGTTAGGAGAACAAGAATAGGAAATTCAAATAGAAGTGAGCTCGTATTGCTGCAAGTAGTAACAGGGGTTTTGAGAGGCTCCACTGCGGATGGGGGTTAGTCTGAAAATGAGCTTGTGAAAGCTGTAACCTGCTGGAGGGAGTCACATAAGCAGTTGTGGACAAGGCTGGGAATGCCAGCATAGCAGGGGGAACAAGGAGACAATATGAAGCTTGAGACGGAGGCAGAGGGGCAGGTTCCTGCAAAGTGCTGATGGTCCTTACAAGAAGCTTAAAGTAATTCAGTAGCAGACAGAGGGAGAGCAACATGATCAAAGTAATGAACACAGAAAATGTCTTGAACATTGTTGTGCAGATGGAAGGGGGCAATGGATGTTGCAGCAGGCTGTAACAGGAGCTTGAATAACAAACTTATCTGCAGAGTGGAAAGAAAAGCCTGGTTCTTGGTGAGGCTGAAGAGGAAGAAGGGGCAGGATTTGATGCAGCCTGGATGTGTGAGACAAGGGGGAAAGAGGCTTCAGCTATAACTCTTTGTGATAATACACTTTTAACCCTCTGTCACTTATGATAGGGAAGCTGGAAGCAGGCAGGAGAAGGAAGGAATTCTGTTTTAGCCATGGGCAGTCAGTTGCTTATAGATAAGTGCTGGGCTCCAGTGGGTGTGGCAGAATTTGGAGATGCCCGTGTAAACCATCTAGCTTGGTTAGCGATCTTGGCCCCCCGCCATTCAGTGGGTTCAAGTCCACCAACAGAACCGTGAGTCAGAGCCAGCAACACTGCGGAGGCAGACCACCCTGCGAGAGCTGCTGTCCTTTCTAGCCATCTCTGCTGGATGCCCGACTAGAAATTAAAGGTCCTGTGGTACAATTGCAATGGCTCCTAAACGAAGCCAAAGTTGCATCTTGCAGAATGGAAAACATGACCTAATGGGTGGCAAGAATGAAGTTATAACTTCATATTTTTCTTCTCTTCCAGATACCTTCTTGAACAGAGAGATGTGGAAATAAATGTCCGGGATAAATGGGACAGTACACCTCTGTGAGTGTCATGGCCTTGAGTGCTGTTCAGGTAGAGGGGAAGTTGGGAGAGAATGTGTCGGAAACCTCTGGGACCCTGTCTGGTTTGAGACTCTGCTGAATACCTTTCTTATCCCAGGTGGACTTTCTGTGTACCAGGTGCCCTCTTATCTAGCCACTGAATTAGCAGTAAAATAACATGTAGGAAAGTGCCAGAAGAATCCCAAGGCAGGTGCTGGGAATGCTGCCCCACCTCTGGGAGGGGTATGGTGTACAGCTCAGGGGCGTGGAACAGGAAACCAGGAATCCCGTGTCTCTCTCTGAGAAGGGTGATGTGAGCTCTGTGTCCATATAGGCTGATTCCAAAGATGTTCTCAAGATCTTCAGTATATTTTGAACGTTTGACTCGCTCCCAGGCAGCCTTTTTGTGGGGGTGGGAGTAATTGAAAATCCCTATAAAATGTCCCTTTCTTAAGAGAGGCAAGGGCTTTTTTTGTGATCTCTTATTGGACCAGCTGTGTAGTTGGAAGAGATGTTGGATAAGTTTTTTGGTTATAAAGCAGCCTTCAGGTCTGAGAAGGAAGCAGACACGAGTTGGGTGGTCTTGTATAAGGACTTTTCCATATGAGCCAGTTGTATCTATTTGTAATATTTAGCTTTTTCTTCCTGCAGTGGAAAGGTAGGAGCTTGTTATAAGGCCTAAAGAATATTTGTAGAGCAACTTGGGACATTTGAATAAAGAGTTGTTATGGAAGTATTATGGGCTTTATTGTGGAAAGAAGCAAATAGGAAAATTTAAATCCATCCTAAATCAGAATTTGGGATGTGGGCTTACTGTACATCTCTGCTTTTTGAGATGGAGGTTAGAGAACTCTTGGTGTGCAGTGAAGGCAGTATGTCTATAGGAGAAAGGTCTGGGAAGAGGAATAGAAATGCTTAGTTGTACCCAAAATAAACCAGTTTAAAATGATGAACTGAGCTGCTGAATAAGGGGTAGGATGCTGCAGTGCACCCTCAGCAGGGCCCAGAAGCACGAGGAACAGAACCTGCTCAGTGTGTGGTGTCTACATTGCTGTAACCATCCCAAAAGGAGCCATTTCCAGCCCCCTACTGCTGGAGGGACATGCCTATACAGTGTTGCGGTCTCTGTGGAAGGATAAAACAGCCTCTTGAGGGACCAGGATACACTCTTAAAGCAATGAAGATCTCACTGCTTGTTTTGGTTCTGACTTTCCTTCTCTCATTAACAGATACTATGCTTGTCTCTGCGGGCATGAGGAGCTTGTACGTTATCTTCTAGCCAATGGTAAGAAAAGGAGATGGGCACCCTTTGTGTGTCCTGCACCCTGCACCCTTTGTGTGTCCATCCCATTTACAGTTCTTTGCTCACACTCCTCTGTAGCTACTTACAAAGTCTCTGTCCCTTAACCGGTCTCAACAGATGACAGGTGATGCTTTTGGGTATAGATGAACGGTACACCATTTCAAAAGGGGTGGGGAGCCTTGCTTCTTTGGAATGCACGTCAGCTCGACCAGTGTGACTGTTTTGTCTGTCTGCTTCTGTGCTGATGTAACTAAACCTGAACTGAATATGCTTAAAATAATGGCAGCTTAGCTATGCTCACAGCTGGTATAAGAATGGACAGACAGAATAGTTACATCAGTTTAGCATGATCTGCAGTAAAACATAAAACTGATGTAACTGTTTTGTCTGTCTATACCCATGATCAAACCTCTGATTGCAAAACTTAGACTGCTGTGGAACTCCATAGTTGCACTGGACCTACTGACAGTGTCCCCCTTTCTAAACCACACGCCTCTAGAAGGAGAGCTTCTTTCTTTGGTCACTCCATGGCATACATGAGCCCAAGGCTGCAGTGATGGCTAACATTAGTTATAGCAATTTGCAGGGATTCAGTGCTAAAATGGATAGTCGGAGCTGCGTCTTAGTGAATCACTTAAGTAGAACTTGATTTCCTGCTTCCTTGTGCTTTTCTCTTGTTTTGGTGGAGTCATGCTCCATAGGCAGGGCTTCAGGATGAACAACAAAGGCTTTATTGAAAACAGCCAAGAATGCCCTGTTGGTGTCTGGTTTCTCTGTCAAAGTGACTGTCTTCAGTTCTCAGCTCCAGTATTTGGCAAGGGGCTGTTAGTACCCCTCATTCTGGCAGAGAGACCAGAGTATCTAAACCCTTGGATGTATTTCAGCAGGTGATGTGCTTCTGTACACTGGAGCAGTCACTTGCTTTTTATTGGAATCTTATTGGTTCCCTATAAACTTTCTTTTTTAAGCAAAACTTTTGCAGCTCTTTAAAGAAGCACCCCTTGCTTTCTGTATAAGCAAAAACCTGGCCTTGTGACTAATTGCACCATTCATACAGTGTGTTTCTTCCTCCTTGACTCTTTGGGAGACCTGCCAGGGCTGCGGCTCAGAACTTCTTGATATGGGAGATCTGATTTAATTAACTGTAGTTACTTCATGAAGGCTTGAGTTGTGGGAGGTCATACTCAGTGCATATGTGGGTAGGGAAGTTTATTTTAGTGGCTGAATGCCAATTGCCATCAGCTGTAGTTACTTCCTATTATCTAGTTGGGGAGCCACTCTTTTGGGTACTGTGCAGTGTTACCTGTGTCTTATGGTATTTACATCTGTCATTATTTTGCAGGTGCAAAATGTGAAGCTAACACTTTTGATGGTGAGCGTTGCTTGTATGGGGCTTTGAGTGATGCGATCCGCCGGCTCTTGAAGGAGTACAAGCAGATCACGGCCAAGTGCATGAAGAGAGATTACTATGATGTCTTTTTGCAGCGGTAAGGCTATGGGACAGCTCCAGAGGCAATGCATTTCAGGATCCCAGTCTGCATGTCAGCTAGGACTCAATCTTGAGCCTGCTCTTCAGGAGCTGCTTACAGATATGAAAAAACAAAAACCCAGTACTTTACTTTAAGCTTAGCACACCCCCACACTGAATGCAATGCCCAAAAGAGGCATTGTGTTAGTTTGACATGGCTCACCCAACGCCAGTATAGGTCACATGTTTCAGCAGGGCTTTTTGGCCCTTTTATCTAATAGCTGATTGAATTGGCTTTAGATAAAAGTACCAAAAAGCCCCACTGAAATGCATGATCCATACTGATGCTGGGGAGCCAGGTTGAACCAACATGCTTCCTCTTCTGGTAAAGCACTGTTTCGTTTTTTTCCACATCTGTCAGCAGCCAGGCAGGCTACCAAGCTCCACCTTGATTTGTTATGTATTGTTTAAAAATAGGCAGATTTGTTTGCACCCCAGGAGACCGTTTTCCACATATTACTGAGGGTTTAAACAACAGATGCCCACTTAGGCACTTGCACAAACCTGTGGCCAGTGAACATGTAACATGCAAAGCACTTGATTGACAAAACAGTTTTCATCAGCTTGCCAAGAAATGCATCCCCCAGCTGAATGTGACATCAGCTGAATTTGTTTCAACCTGAAATCAGAGTAGCACTAGGGCTCAGATTTTCATTACTGAGCAGCAGTAATGGGTGCCTTCTTTTTGGGGTGCTCAGCTTGGGGCCCCCTCAAGGAGCCTGACTTTCAGAGCTAGGTGCTCAGCCCTTCCTCAGAAATCTGGTTCCTTTAAGATGTCTTGTGTAAGGCATGGAAAATTGGTGATAGCTTTTTGAAATTCTTGACAGAAAGCTGAAAACTATGCCCACCCAAACACAGCTTTTTTGAACTTAGAAATAATTCTTTAATGTTTTTACTCAAATGTCCAAAGAATCTAAGTCTTGGCCTCAGTAAGGGAAACATGAGAAAATTTTAGGGGTGCACCGATAGAGAGTTTTGGGGTGATACCGATAGCCAATTTTTAAGGAGGCATATCGGCCGATACTGATCCGATTTCAGATACCAGCCCAGCAGCTTGGAGAGTTGCATGCAGCTGGTAAGTCTGGTGTGGTGAAAGGGGAGGGAAAGGGTGTGTGGGGGGCAGATCAAGGCCCCTGCGGTGAGGGAGGAGTGGGTCAGGAGCTGAGGCAAGAGCTGCCCAGCTGGAGCGGGACGGGATGGAGTCATGGCTCATCTGCGGGGCTGGGAGCAGCTCCTGCCACTGCGTGCTGCTTGTCCGGGAGCCACTGGTCCAGTGCTCGCCTGCTTGTCCAGCAGCTCCCACCACTTGTCCAGGAGGGTGTGTGCCCCCAGATCTGCATGGGGCATGGCGGGCTGGGGCCGGGGCTGCGCAGGGTTCTTCCTGGCCTGCCCCACCCCACGCAGATCCAGGGGCACGCCTCCCATGCCCTCATGGACAAGTGGTGGGGGGAGGCGGCGACAG